AGTGCAGTTATACAGTATATGTGGGTGTACATAAGTGTGTCTGCTTGGTGCCCAAAGCAGAGTGATGCCCCTGCTGATTCTGCTCCTCTAGCTCTTTGTCCTGCAGCACTCAGTGTGTCTGCCTCCTCGGGAGACTGGCAGGCTTCTCTAGTGTGGCTCCACAAAGGCCCAGCCTCCTTTGAGGTGTTAAAAACTTCCATTTATGCATCTCCCAGGACAAAAAAGCACCAAGCCCATTTGAGTCCAGTAGCAACACAGGCAGACATTGTGGCCACGCTTCTCTAGCACTCATTTCACAGATTCTAAAACCAGTATGTGGTGAACAGGATTTGAGGGGCTAAAGTGCCCCGTGAGGGCCAGGCGATAAGAGGGGAGAAACGCCACCACGCAGTAAACTAGAAGATGGGTCCTGGAAAATAAACACATTACCTGCGAGAGAGGGAGAGACTTGTTTTCATATCCCTCCCCCACAACATAGACAAATACACAAACCCCACACTAAGCAAGAAATGAACAGAGAAAGTGGGGGAGGAGAAAATATATGTGTCTATCTTGGAAGTTAAGAAAAAAGGTCTCATCAGTGTGCAAAAAGACAAGCATATTCTGTGTTCTCTGTCTTTATAGTCTTTGGAGTGAAGAATATGTGAGAGGGAATCAAAGAGAATTGATAGGTTGCATGCCCGCCTGTTAGGAGCACTGGGGACTGAATGCCGTCCACCACGGAGGAAAACATTCTATTTGCTGGTCGTTTCTCTCCCTTCACCCTGCCTCAACCCAGTTGCTCAGTAAATAGACTTTTATTCTTGTTATTTGACGCAGAGGAAATGACACATAATGCATTTGCCTGTGCAGCGCACGAAAGCCTCCTTCAGCCACAGCACTGTATCTGTATCAGGCTATTTCTTGTGACAAACTCTGGGTTGAATAGCTGCTGTTCAAGGGTGGACATATTTTTCCTCTTTATCTGACACTATTGCGCTTCAGCTCTGCCAAAATACAGGTCACTGTTTTACTCTCAACAAAGATATTTTAACTGGGGTGACACTCTGGTAGCCATTCCTGACACGTTGGTGCTAGACATTTTTGTGAGTGTCTAGTCTGCCATAGTTCAGTGTCAGGACAGGCTCAGCCAGAGACAGAAAAGGGCAGTTTGAGAGAGACAGAGGGTAAAGATGAAAAGACAGATTTGTAAGGCTGTGACAGTTAACGGTGTGCTGGAGCATGAAACAGCTGTTTGCACATGATTGACCTGTTTCCAACACCAAATAACTCAATGATATGGTAGATCACTGGTTGAAGTACAGCTTGTCTGTCTAATAGCACGGCACTGGACTTTTTATTTTTTCGTCCATGGCTGTCTAAAGTTTACCTCACCAGTAGGAAGTGAATACATTTATGAGCTAACGACGACTAAACAAATACAACCTCCTTAAAATGATCTGTGCCAAACTCTCCACAGTCTACATGAACACTAGCTGTATTCCTGACCATCAATGTCCTCTCATTTCCAGCTCAAGCGATTACTCACTGCATGGAAGCTGTCGTTTCATATTTCACAGATGATGCTACTGCAGAGAGGATAGACTGTATAGAACTGGATATTTAACAGACAATCACATGTTCAATTACTATATCAGACACTTCTGTGGCAGAGTGTTCTGTGCTTCACCCCTTCGCCCTCCACCCCTCCTCTCCCTCCCATTTCCCTATTTCCCATGGGACCACTGTTATAGCCCCACCTTATTGCATCCCAAACTCCCCCATGCAGTCCCCGGCCTGACTGACTGTGTGGCTGCTGCTTCTGCAGAGATAACCACACAGCATCCAGGTAGGGAGCAGCCTGCTGATGGCATAGATTACCTCTATTGTCAAAATAACTAACTCGGCAGAATTCCTACTTTAGTGTGTTTGGACGCAGGAGAGAGTGAGGATTTGGAACGGAGGATTGGGAGGATTTTTTATTTTTAACATGTTGCAGATCTGGATGAATTCCAAACAGAAGTTGAAGCACAAGTTTCTACTTGCCTCATGCATATCCACACAAAACTACACATGGTGAAATGTACATTTACATACATGCAGGCACGTAAACATACACACACCCAATTTAAACATGTCCCACATTCAGTAGTTTTAATACAATACATGTAGTGGTTGGTCTCCTCTGTGCTATAAACAGTTGTGGTGATGTATGTCTATTGATACTGAGCCACTGTTACACAATTGTTGAAAAACACAACTCTTACTGTTGGTCAGGGAAAATTAAATCAAGCGCAGCACACACCGTACATGAACACGTGGGGAATTTGAAGGTTCATTTGATTAGAAAGTAAATGTTTCTGAGCTGAGATAGTAAAACTGGTTTCCTTCACGTACTGTATAAGAGGCTTTAGTTCCAATGGCAATTCCAGCAGGCATGCAGTATGTTTGATGTGTAATATAGCAATACATGAGCGGTTTCTACGTGGGAGGCTTCAGTGAGTGAATGGTTAGCCTTATATCTTATCCACAGTGACATTGCTGAAATGTGGAATTTCGATCTAGTGTTGTGCCCAAACAAATTGCATAAATGTGTGTCAGAGTGTTTGTGTGTGTGAACTACATTTCTGGATTTTCAAACCAGTGTGAATCAGGGGCAGCTCACTTAGTTTAGGTACCGAAAGACTATGAGTGTGTGTGTTTGTCTGTGTCTATTCCCTGACAAAATTTCAGCACTGGAAATGATGCTATAATTTTCTACTCTGCTTCGCTGCATACGAAAGCTGTTGTGGCAACTTGAGTGTGTGTGCATGTTTGCATTTTCATGTATTTATTTTGTGTGTGTGTGTGAGAGAGAGAGAGGTAGCTATGACCAGCCAAAGCTAGAGAAAAGGCCACTCTTTGACAGAAATGCCACAGGTAGCTGTGAGCTCTCTGTTTCTGCTCCTTTGATGTAAGCTCCATCGGGCTGTTTGGATTTTTGTATCTGACAGCTAAACTTCTCGTATTTCTAGTGTAGTGAAATTATTTTAACAGAAAAATAAGTCTTTGGTCTTCACTCTGACTGTTCACTTGCGGCTTAATGGGGCCACATTTACAAGACATCTCATCCTCTCACCATAACAGTTTCTGTCTCTAACTAAAAAAAACATGTATAGAAAATATACCGGTGAAGTGTGTTGACAATTTGTTTATAAAAATGTGGTGAAACAAATAATTTAGATTGGGGGTTGTGGAATTGTTTTTAATAAGTCCCTCTAATTAGGAATGGATGTTCCCTGCCTCTAGGTCTAATTCACAGCAGGAAAAAAGCTGTCACATGCAGCTACAATAGGCCAGTTGACACCGACTCTTAATACACCACAGGGATTACTACATTTTCTTCATTATAATATCATTTGGATTTGCTCATTATTTGCAATTATGAAATTCTTTTGTTTTTTTCTCAGACAAATAATTAACTTAAATAACCAATGAATAAAGAATACATTTCCCCCCTTTATTACATACCTCATTGTTCTCTTAACATCAGATTATGAATTCAAAGGTTTCTTAATGTCTACTCTGTAATTATAAGAGCTCTCATTTTTTAGACACAACAGGAATTAAGCCTATAGCCACATGTTTGACAAAGACTGTTTTATTGAATTACCATCCATGTAATATGTGGTTTATCCAGCAGGCAGGGATTGTTATGTAGACTGAATGGCTGCTAATATAAGGTAATTGTGTGTGTGTGTGTGCGTGTGTGTGTGAGAATACAGGAGTGAGTGGTTGCAGCTGCATGGAGCATAGTTTAGAACATTAAAATAGTGTGTGTTTAGCATCATTTGAGAGACAGGAGTAGACTTTAAAATCGGAGGTGCTATTCATGTAGCAGCTTTCCATTCAGCTGGGGTCACCGGGGTCCCCTCTACCCCACTGTCACATCCAGCCTCAAGGCTACCACATTCAGACCCGTCTGCAACTCTTGCCTTTATCTGGCTCATTCTGTTAGCCCTCCAGCCTCCCACGTATCAGACTCTGTTCTGTGCTCTGACAACAATGCAGTGGAAGTCGGTACGTTTATCTGGTATGGTTGTTGGTGGCTTATTGGCCCTGGCGATGGGAGACTGAGGTGCAATAGTGCAAATTAGTGACAGATCAGTTAAGCATGACCTTAAAAATCCTTGGCCTTGTTTAATTGGCAGTGTTGAGGCGGACTAATTGTATAAATCAGCTGGTAATGAGATCTTGGCTTATTGTGAAACACAAGATAATGTGAGAAAATGAACATGAATGAGCTTACAGAATTTTCATCCCTGAAGCTAAATGGTCTGAGTTGTTTTCTCTCAGTTGTCACTACTTCTTAACTGTGTGTGCGTATAAGTTGGAAATTGGCTAGGATGATGCCTAAAACTGTATGCGCTCATACTGTACTGGAGTTTTCTGGTTATTTGCGCATTCTCTAACAAAGCTCTTAAGTTGCAGCACTTCAACAGAAATGCTGAAACTAACGGAGCATGGCCCCTAAATAAATCATTAGCAGGCAGTGCTTGGAGGAAGAAAGCTAAATGAAATAAAACAACTGCTTTATATGAAAGCTGTTTATTAGCAGAATCTGTCGACTGGAAGACAGATTAATAAGGTAGCAGAGAAGTAGATTTTAAATATTGTCTAGGATGGATTCCCATTGGTGACAGCTGTGAGGACTGGAGGTCAGGCACTAACAAAGCTGTCTTACAGTAGCTCAGCGGTGGAGACTCTGACCCTCAGCCAACAGTCACTATGGACCCAATTCTCTTCCACTTGTTCTGTCTCTATTTGTTCAGATACAGGTAAATACAGTTATCAGACTCTTGTTGATTTTAGCCATGCTCACTGGTGGTTTTTATCAAATGAAAGTTATTTATACTCAACAATATTTAAATGCTTTATTTTTTGTGGAATTTCAATCAAATGCAATATATTTATATATTGAATATGCTGCATTCAAGGACACACAAATAGCTTTTTCTGTCTTCTTTTTGCTTACATTTCAGGTTTTTACATGAATTCAAAATCAGCCAACCAGTGATCGCTGGAAGCTGGGGATTGAGTCTTTCAGTTTTTGTAAGTATCAATTTGCCTCTTCAGCTTTTTCTGTCTTGCCACATGTCTCATACACCCCTGCCGTCTTTCACCCACACTGAACACCTGCATCAAATGAGGTGGACAATTGGATAGGCACACAATGTATGCACAATTAGACAGTTATACAGCCCCAACCTTCCTGACAGACCTTTTTAAACATTAGATCCTCCAACTTATTTGTCTTGCATTTTGCTTTGCCTTAATATTGTGTTGTGGATACTCAGGATTCTTTTTTTTTTTTATTTCTCCTTTTTCACATTGTATTGCTCCTTGTGTGATATGATCCACTTGTGTGGGAGTTGTGATTTTAAAGTCAAATCAGACAAACTAGAAACGTGAGCCTATTTTAATTAAATTAAAATAGTTTGGAACAAACTTTATTTGGTCTTATTATGAAAGGTTAATGCATACTAACAACTGCATACTTATCCTGTAGGTACTATAGCAACGCATATTCATCGTTTTTATACCAAAACAGTATCAGAACTATATTTAGCCCAGTTTGGTTTAAAAGGGATGTAAGTGAAGATTTTCAAAGCAATACAGTAGGACAGTTGCTAGGAAATGCTCATTTTGCTTTCAAAAAACAGAATAGAAAATACTACAGTCCTCTCTGAATCAATAAAAATTTTACTGTAACAATCTTTGCTCAGCTGCTGCTCATGCAGGTTTTCTAATAAAAATGTATCTTAGATATTAAGCAAATAAAGGCGAGGTACTTAGTTGATATTCTCTTCTTCCAAATGTCAGTTGGAGATATCATGGGATTCATATTAATGTGGCTGAGAAGCTCTTCAATAACAGCAGTGAAAATGTCTCTCTGAATTCAAAGTTCATGGCCATTTACCATTGTTTAATCATGCCGTTTCACGTCACACACTGTCTTCTGCTCAGATGAGTATGCACCTGTCTAGCAGCGAGCTCTCTCTGCTGCTGCATGCTAGTTCTGTGAAGTTTGTTGTGAATGGCTTCAACTCGTAAAATGGTCATACAGTGACAGTCAGTCATATAGAGTGGCCTGATGAACATAAACAGCATCAATTTAGTCAGACAAAGTTATTACATCAAATAAAATACATCACTGCACATAATAAATATATTAAAAACCGACAGGGGCAACATAAAACACAAACACAAAATAGATATACTCCACTGAGCATATGCCAGTTTTGGTTTGGAACATGTACAGTACATATTTAAATGTAAATGTCTTTTGAAACTTTAATTTGAGATACCAGATGTTTTATAATAATACAACATAGGCTACTTATGTATTAGGTTTAGGAACCATGGAGCGACTTTTTTTTCTGCCTTCACCTACAGTAGGATCCATAGGAACCTAAGAGAGTTAACATGGTTTATAGTGAATCAGTGAGAGAGAAAATTATCCTCACGCAGCAAAAACAACGCAACACTTGAGCCAGTGCTAGATATGCTTGTAAAATAATAAAAGGCAATACGGCACGACGTCCTTGTGGGCTAGCATCCCACTACCCATTACCATCCCACTTCTGAGACGTTATGTTGGATCATCATACAATCTGTAATCTAGATCCTTTGACTTACAGGTTTAATTAATCTCAAAACATGACAGGACGTAATTTAGTTTGTGTCTGGAGTGCTTATAGAACAAGTTTAATTACACTCATGCAATCTCATTTGGAAACACCTGATGATATGTTATACCATCAGAATAGGCAAGATACACTGTGTTAGCATGTGCCATTTATCTAATAAGCAACAGCCACACGGTCTCACAGCTCTCAGCCCACTATCGATGGCACCACTCAAGGGGAGGATACAGGGGAGACCATTCTGGCAGAAATTAAATAAACAGCCCTTCACCATAAAATGAAAATGAATAACCTTTGAATGGTTATTCTTCATCTATTATTTATCAAATGGGCCTCTTCAGTCCACTGACCCTGCAGTGATTATGGTCAACCTGATGCTGAACAGAGACTGCTTGACAAAGACTGCCTGACTATGATTTTAATTTCATCAGCCTCAATTACTTCAGAGGATCCCAGTACAAATTTGAAAAACTAATTGTTGCACATGTCATTACCTGTCAAGAATGTGGAAAGCCCGCCTGAACTTTATCCATCTTTTTAAACTCTGCATTCAATTAATATGTATTACTCACGAGTGACCTCATTTTGAAGTGCTTAAACTAAAATATACTTTAAGTGTTGGCAATTTGATTAGGAGGGGTGTTGTCTGGACTCTCTTTACAGTTGGTGATTATGTATGGTCTATATTTAATCTCATGAAAAGGACTTAATCTCTGAGATTATTATTATTATTATTTGAAGGTTTGATGGACTTTATTTTATCCTCAGAAGAATAATATGAAAACCTAATATGGACTTGGCTGCTGTCCTGCTTCTCAAGGTATGTTCCCTTGTATTGTAGGACAGAGTTTCACCTAGTAGCTATATACTCCAGAAAACAGGACCAAAGAACATGCCATTAATCTTCTTGCTACCCCAGCTGTGGAAAGTAATGCATAACTAAAAGTCTGGTAAAATGAATTAATGATTTCAACCATGAACTTTTCTCCGAAACAACCATGAATCGTCTCCAACTGATAATGCACCACGACCCTGGAGTGTGAAATCCCTGTTGCGTTGAGAGTAGCCAGTTAATTGATTCGCAAATTATCTAAAGTTTGTGGTGCCCAGGGGAGTGCTAGAATCTAATGACGGCCCATTTTGAAAGAGTTGAAAAACTCTTCCCAGGCAAGCCAGTATTAAATTAAGCCAACAAGTAACAGTAAGCTAACAAGTATAATCTGAGCCCCAAGAAAAGAGATGGTGTCCAGTTTTGTGAGATTGGGTCATCTGAATATGCTCTTTAAATTTAGATGTGTCTCATCCTAAGTAGAAAATCAATTTATTCCTATTTTGAGAAGCTTTGTTTTTTCCTTTAATCCTCTATGAGAAAGCATACAATATGTAGGATAATCTGTTTTTATTACAGATACAAAGCTAAACATTGTATATGGAATGAGTTGCTGTTGATTTTAAACTCAGCATTTGGGTCATTTATCAATCAGAATGCCACTCACTATAGCAAATTCAGCCATTAACTTTCTGTTGACTCCAAAATGAATAAGGTTTGACTGACATCGACAGGGTTAAATGTTGTTACTCTGTTACCTACAACTCTCAAACAGACTGATGAGTGTAACACTCCGTATTCTGTCTGTGGCATGTGTGATATTTAACAGAAAAGCTGAATAAATATAAGTCAGAAATCAGCGGACCTAGACCTAGATCAAGCAATAGCAGGTCATTCTGTGCAGAATAGTCTTATCTAGTAGCATACACACTGTATGCTCCATCGCTTTTTAGCTGAAATTGTTTGATCTCTGTGTTAATATCAAGGAGCCTCTAATCTCGACCCATTAGCAACTGCTGTCATTCAGACACACGGTGTCGGCCTGATTTAAATAAAATGAAATGAAGATAGTTGTTTCTGGTCCCTTGGCTTCACTCATTGCCATAAACATATGCTCTGTGCCCCGCTTCTTTCCATCTTATTTATGACTTTAATTTGTTGTGTGGGCTGCGCAAGAAATCAAATTTAATCCAATCCTCCCAGGGACCCTGTCATATAATAACATGGTAATTTCTGTGTATCCTTTTGAAAAATGAGGAAATTAATTCTTCCTGACATGTTCTAATTATTCCAGTGTGAACGGCGGATGGGCTCCCCTCCTTCCTCCCATCCCCCCGGCCCCCCTAAGTGTCAGTTGCCGACGTGTGGCGAGGTGCTAATGCTGACCAGCAGCGCGTTTAATTTGAAACATGAGAAGACACCTTTCAACACACCTTCTTAATGTTGGAGTGGCTCACACAAATTAATTCACTACTCATCTGGCAGCTCTGACTGAGGTGTGCAAACCCACATGTGTGTGTGTAGGTTAGGGGATTGGGGGAGGCGGTCAATGGGACACTATTGCCATTAACAAAGGTAACATAAGGTGTCTCTGTGTGTGCATGTGTGTGTACTACACTGAAGGTGTAAATGCATTTATGTCAGCATGTGTGGACACGTGCTGGACCAGGTATCACCATATTTCATGTGAGTTGGTGTTGAGTTGGCGTAAAGCTGCCTGCTGGGATGTTGGGATTGCTTGGACAGCTTTTCCCCCTCTCTGGATCTCCCTCCTCTTGAACCAACAGTACCTTTTCACACATCCCACTGCTCCACTGAGAGCACTGAAAGGCTTATTTAATTAGACTGTCATCAGGCAGTCTTTAGCTTATCACTTTGCATAGGGATACTACTGGCAGAGATGTTCTGATACAATGATATTATGCTTAATGTTTAAGGGTTAAAAATGTAAAATAAATAAATGTTGTTTATTAGATAAATCCTTAGTAGATCTATAAAAAAAAAAAGTGAGAATTTAGAAGTGAGTTTGCTAATGACACTAAATCATATTTATCTGTTCACTGAAATCACTGCCCTGGTATGGTGGTCTGTACAGTCAGACCTATTAATATCCTATGGAACAAATTTGGTTAATAATTAACAAGGTAAAAGCCCAAATGTAAAATAAAAACAAACTGCATTCAGACTTTGTCTCTGTAAGTCCACAGCAGCTCTGTATACATTCAGGCTCCTGAGAGAAGAAATGTGTTTCCACTTTCTATGTATAGTATCTGAGGCAGCTGAGACAGGAGAAGAAAAAATAAACAAACAAAATTTTCTGAACTTTAGAGTCGGGTTCAAACCCTAGAACTGTAATTGATTTGGTGTGTGTTGTCTCTGGGTCGTAGAACAGAGGGGCTCATAGCCGTGGCGTCATGGTCGAGGAGAAGAGAGCATGGCTTTGTGAACAGTGGGTGGGTCCCCCCATGACTCAGAGAGGGGAGAGGCGTCAACATGGCCGCCCAGCCCACAGGGATTAAAGTGCCCCCCCTACCCTCCCCACACCCTGCAGGGTTAATCACTGCCATTTTGGATCCATGCAGAGGGAGCAAATGTACTCTCCATCACTGTGGAAGAACTGAGACATAAGCCACCACTTAGGCTGCCACTGCAGCAGCTCTGTGGGTAGATCTGCTTCATAAGCTCGTTTCCACTCTGTACAATAGAGTGTTTTGAGCCCTGGTTTACTTGTCTCAAGAAGTAGTTCCTGGATGAAAGCACACTCTTGCTCTCTGTATTCTCTTCTTTTGGATATTGCTACTTTTTCCTCATATGGGTTTGGTTAAGCGATACACCTGGTAACCTGGGATGTAGATACTGGTAGGATCTGTGTAGATAACTTCTGTCTCTCGCTGTGCGCCGCGCTCTATGTGAGCCTGTTAATGACTGAAGGCTGAGAGTGCCGTCTCGTGCCAAGACCCACATGGCTGCTGGCGGTGCATTAAATCAGCAGTCAATTTGACTGGAAGTTTGAAATCTGGGCTAGGTTAAGGAGATGTGCTGAAGCCGTGTTAATAGCTAGCTTGTTGTCCATATGGTACTACTTTAATAGAGCACATTTGTTGCAGATGGTGGGAGACTTGGTTAGGCAGAGGCAGCTTTTGGCAGAGGCTCATTCTTCGAAAGGGCTGCCGTGCTGCTCGGACTGGTCCAGGCCAACTTAGTGATGTCTCTCCTCCCTGCTTCTTCTTCACCAAAAAGCCTGCCCTTGAATTGTGGCCCAGCCTTAATTTAAAGACATTCTTGTTTTTTTGTGTTCGGAGAAGAGCAAATACAATGTGGCTCAGTCACTTTTTCCTGAGTTCGGTCATTTGCTATTTCCAAACCGCACCTTTGCTACCATAGGCTAAGTTCAGTTGTTTCTGACCACAATGGTAGTGTAGACAGCAGGCACAGCTGAGGAAACACAAGTACACAGAGTGAAAGAACAAGGGTTATGGAAGAAGACCAAAGATAAAGATAGAAACTGAGCATAGCCTAATCTATCTAATTTTCTCTCTGGTTAACTGAACTGTTTTAACAAGCCTGCTGAAGAATTTTGGTACTGGTAAAACAAATATTATAATAATAATAATAATAATAAGTGCTCTGTTCATTCTGTCACTGGTTTATGTGTACATTTGTTGAGTTTCTGCATCAGAGTCAGTACTGTTTCTATTCCTCTTCCTTATGTCTGAACTAAAATTCACAATATGTAAATGTATACCAGAATTTGTTTGCATGTACTGTAAGTTCAGAGCAAATTCATATTTGTGTTGGTAATTGTTTTAGTCTGTATGTGCCTGCTTCAGAGTATGTGTGCTTTTTGCACTTAGAAGTGAGGAGACACGCTTGATCTGCTCTGCACTGTTTGACGGTTGTTTTCTCACGTTGTCACTGACTTGGTGTGCTGTGCTGTGGTGATGGTATTATGTGCTCTGGGCCCAGCTGAGTGGAGAAAAGAGCAGAGCTGCAGCGCCCCTAGCTATGCCACTCCTGCCTCCCAAGACACCTTATTGTGAGAAAAGTCTCAGCTGAGCCCTCTGGGCCTTGTGGATCCACTGCCTCGCTAAGTGCTGGCCAGACTGAAAGGCACAGTGTCCTTGGGCCCAGCTCATTCTTTCCATTCTCTCAGAGGCTTTGTCTCATAAGCCACGAGAGCTGAAAAGGGAGAAAATGCCATATTGTCACTAAAACTTAAGGTGTTTAAGGGCTGAGTTGTCATTTACCGTTGTGTTTTGTGTTATTCAGGATGATGTGCATGAGGCAGTGTTGTAACAGAAGAAGTATTTTTCTTTCACTTGGTGTTAAAGTGGTCTCTCTTGAATTTTAAACTTAAGAAATTGAATAAAATGATGGCTTGATGAAAAGTTGAAGTGAAATGACTTGTTATAATGCTGAAAATATTTTTGCAAGATATCCTTGCCATATGTCAGTGGCTGAGTATCTTTTTTTATTAGGCTAGTTGTGAGATCTGAGATACATTTCAATTTCGACCACTGACAAAAGTCCCACACACAAATCTGTTCTCTGGAATCGCTGCTCGTTTTTACCACTTAAAACAAAGCGCATGGAAGTCCTAATCAATTTTCAACCAGTCTCAACACAATAAAAGTGTATATTATATAGACCAATAACATAGGCTAATGGAAACCTGTTGTAAGTAATTTTTAGCCATGTGTCTCCAGTATTTGTGGTTAAGGCTTCTGAACGACCCCTACAACTGGTGACATCATGACCACATCCCTTTGCCTCACTGACGCTGTGAGTCCCAGCTTGGGTCCCTTGTGGCCAGGCTCCCAGAAGCCACAGCACCCTCGCCACACATGGACTGCAGCTGGACCACCGTTTGCTACGCTGAACAGACTGGGGCTGCTCTGGGATGTGTGGTTACAGTGCTGGATGTACATGTATATATCTGCACACAGCCGTGGAAAAGGACCGTATAGAGATCAGTAGGCACAGCTTATTTGATGCAAACATATCATCAGGCTCTCAGTGCAAACCGATGTTGTATGCAAATCCACTCCCTCGATGGAAAGAGGTATAATTAATGATGTCAGTTCATAAAAAGAGAGGATGGGTTCGTAGCCATATTTCTGCTTTAATTAAAGACATGCCTTATTATAGGAGGAAGATGTATGCTCTGTGTTTTTCTTTTTCTTTCTTTCTTTCTTTCGTTCTCTCCTTTCTCCTTTTTCTTCTTGTTCTTCTTCTTGATTATCACTCGTTTCATAGTGAAAATGGTTCTCTGTGATTTCTCCTGCCAGAACCCCACACGCTGACATGGAGGGCTTTCTTCGTAGCAGCTTTTTACTGAGGTTAGTTTCATTTCCGTTGTTGCCATTTAGGATCATAGGTCGGGTAGGGGTGGTAGTGGGGTAACAGGGGTTAAGCTTTCTGACACACTGTTAGCTTTTAGACTTTGGTGTGTGTGTGTGTGTGTGTGTGTGTGTGCACATGTGTCTGTATATTTGAACAATGTCAAACATGGATTCCAACATATTTACTCAAGCTGTGTGTTATGATTGTGTTCATGTAGCGTGTGGCTGACTGGCTTGCTCACCCTGATAGCCTCCAGTCAGGCTGAAAGCACGCATCAACAACTTAAGGGACACATGTAGATGAGCTGTCCCCTACTTTTCCCTTTCCTTTCCCTTTCACGGCTTAAAGGACCTGCAGATCAGGCTTTCTGTGTCTTTACACTGCATGCTTTTGTCTGACCACTCTCCCCATCTGCCCTCCCTTACTAACCACTCTAATCAGGGATGTTGGGGCGAGGCAGTGGCTGGCATATCTGTCTTGTGATGTACTGTTGTTTCCTGTTATGTTTGTATTCAACCTACCATAAAGATTTACATTTTTTGTCTTTACCCTTCCTGTGATTCTAATTAAAAATTTGTGCTGTCATTACACACAGAGGAAGTAAATAAGAGAGTGTATTTACCATTGGCTTCTTTCCTAGTCAACCACCTTCTCTAGGCTCCAGTGTTGCTCCCTAATTAGGGTTGGCTCATTAGAAGCCACAGCAGCAGCATCTGCCTTTCAAAGCTGCTGTCAGCCAAACTTTACTAAAGCTAATGAATCCTCTTTGATTTCTTTTTCAAAAGGTCACTTATTTGATTAAATTAACAGGATTTTTTTTTCTCTCTCAGAACTGTTGGGGGCATTTTAAAAAGAAAGGACAATTTGATACCATTACTCTCGCTAGTCAAAATGTCCTTCAGGAATTCAATAGGAAAATCTCTTGTGCATTTTGATGTATCGTATTTATCTTTAGAATCAAATCACTTAAAATCATATTAAAAATGAGAATGAATCCAACATTTATATGACTATGACTGTTAACTGAAACCATTTCTTTTGATTTTATTAGATTTAACAAATTGAGCCAATTATCACTTAGATATAAGTTACATATTTTTACTATGTAGTCAACATACTTTCATATACTTACTGTTTGCTGCAGCAAACATATAAAATATGTAATACAAAAGTGTACAGTTTCTGTTTTAATCTTTCATGGTATGACACCAATTTGTTTGGTGTGGTATATCTGCAATGGTTTGACAGAGTTATTCAGGCATACAGCATGTTACATTTTTGAGAGCACACTGCCTATGCTCATTTCCGCTTTTTTTTTGTTTGGAGGAATGGTAAAAGTGGATGGCAGCGTTTAACTTTCAGCACCTGTCAGAACCATTTTAGTGGATAACTAACGATAAAGATGCACTGTAGTGTATGTTGCAAGGGAGTGGTATAGTGAAGATGCTTGGCAGAAGCATATCTGAAATTCACCACTTCCACATCCAATCCCATATCTATAGAAGAGAAGAAAAAGAACGAAACATGACATTTGACCTTGGCGGTTTCTCAACAATCTCCTTTTGTTCCATAGCTGTGAGAAAACACTGTGGTTATTCTAAGTAAACACATTATTGCATCGCTAATCCACATCCTTCTGTCAATGTCTGTTTTAATTAAAGGAGGAGAGCCAGTAGAAAGATATCACGCACTCTCGCTGGAGATTGGAGGCCTCAACAATCAGGCCAAGATTAAAGGCAGGCTTTGCGTCAGGGTTAGCCCTTTTGCTTGGATAAGACTTGTGTCCTGGAGTGGGCTGTGGGGTGGGGGTATGGGTGAAAGGGGAGAAAAGGATAGGAACAGGGGTGGATGGATATGACAGTTAGACATTCCTCCAGTGAAGAATCCCAGTGTCTTTTCCCAAGCAACTGAATTAGGTCAAAGGGGATTTCTGAACATACATTTCTTCTTTAATGTGCAGATGTTATTGACTTTTTATGCTGTACCACATATCTCAGTAGCACACCGGATGGGCTTTTCATTATTGCAATTAGTCATGAGTTTGGTTTTGAATCATACTGTACATATCGTGAGCTTTAATAGCTGATTCTGATGTGATGGGGAAAAGTCTCAACTCCATATTTTATGTAGTAGTCAAAGCTTTTGTACTGTTATAAAAAGAATGCCAGTCTGTTTAAAATTCCCTGTATTTATAAAACTAATGCAAAAGTTTTCTGAAGTACGGTATACAATGTGCACAGAGTCATTTTATTGTAAGCCCCACAGGTTTTCTCTTTGTTGAAAAGAAGATGTGTTTTCATTTTAGATAAATTTTTTATGGAAGACGTTTAACAGGTTTTTGTTTGTGCAGTCAGAGACTGAGAAAATGAGAGTGAGTGTGAGAGAGAAAGGGGAAGGAAGAGAGAAAGAATACAGAGATGTGAACAGAGCGAGAGAAAGACATAAGCAGAGAGAGAGAGAGAGAGAGAGAGAGAGAGTGTGTGTGTGTGAGAGAGAGAGAGAGAGATGTCTTCGGTCTGTGTCTACTCCCAGTGGGCAGGACCTCCCCCTACATTTCTGCCATTATTTGATGTAATGAAAGGAGAAAGTGTGTAACATTGAGATTGTTAATTAATTTAGTCTAACAAGATGAAGATAAATGAAACCCACTGAAGGTTGACTAGGCTAAGGGGCCCACTTAGCATTTTCCTGCCCTCGAGCTCTGTCTCTCTCACTCCTTTTACAATGGAGCACAGCTAATAGGTGCAGCACTATGTTTATACAAACCCACTGAGCTCTCACCCGGGAAGTTTAGATGCGGAACTTTTGACAAAATATATTATTTTATTTATACATAATCTTCTCTCTGGGATATTTCAATTCCTAAATGGCTGGGCTGTATGTGTAATGCAGTTAGTTTTGAAGCATAGAAATGCAATTATCTAATTGAGTCCTCTTGACATGTTAGATAAAGCTCAGTTGACATACAGTACATGTGAACTGAATTGACTTTTTAAATATATGCATAGAAGCACTGGTCAAATGTTAATATATTACTCTTTTGCGAACACCTTGTTATACATCTTCTTATATATAACAAGCACACAATTTCTTATCTTCTGCTAGAGATCAGTTATATTTTCTAAAACAGAGGGCGGTTATATAAATCGGCATTCTCTCCAGCAACTATGTGGCCCCTTCACATGAGCCTGTGTGACTCCCAGCCTTTCACCATATGAATGGTTCTTCTCTAATGCGGCTTGGGGGCTATTTGAGCGGCAAGACAGACAAAAAGCAGAAAGGACATTTTTTTACAAAGCCAGACAGTTGTCTTCATCCAGAGCCCTTAGAAGCAAATCAGTAGTCTATCGAAGTCCTTCCTCAGTGGACACTTTGTACAGGATCTTCATGGCAGCACAGACCAATCATTATTGCACCCATTCTCTGCTCCCTTAGTTTTCAAGTCATCAACAATGGGTTGTTGATTGTATGGAAAACAGCAGAACAATTATGTCCTCTGGTGGCAGGGCAGTGTTTTAAAGTGCACTTTGATAATGACTTCATTATTGTTATTCTTGGAGCAGGCTTCAGGAGAAAGAAGTAGCTGCTTGCAGTACGTCATTATTTTGTAAATTTCGATTAACTCATCATGCTGTCTCCTGGCAAACAGAATCATAGCTAATTAAAAGTGAACAAGCACTTTTGCCTGTGACTTAAAAGGTAGCACTCGATAGGCTGTTAATATGAAAAAAGTGGTAAAAAAGGAGGATTAGAGCTGTTACCCTGGTAACTCCAACTTCCATCTGCGAGGGAACAATGAACTTGTGTTCCTCCACCACCTATGCTTGAAAAAACAGAGCGCGGAAGTGAGTGTTCTGAAAGGACAAGACCCTTTTTAACAACAAAGTGGGATCCAGGCCTAATAGGCTCTTTGGTGGGAGTTGTTAGGCGAGATCACTGGGGGATAGAGGAGCAGAAAGGTCGACGTGTAATCCTAGGACAGTCAAGGTCGTCAGAGGTTTTCACAATAGCAGGTTGTTTCCTGAATCCGTTTGTCTGCCCAAGTAACAGGACCTCAAGTTTGTCCATTTTAAAGATTTTAAAAGAAAACAAGATTGACTGAAAAGGCTGCTAGCAACACGTCTGCTCGTGATAAAGGGGGTAACATGCCCCACAGCTAAAATGTACACATTCCCTCAGCTGATTAAATAAACACAAACAAGATGCCAAAGAGTTGGACCAATTAGACAGAAGCTGTTGGAACTGTCTCTTGCATCTCTTCTAGTGATACAACCAATTCTGCATCGGTTTCTGGCACCTCAGCTCATTTGGAAACAACACGAACTTTCACAAAAACACCTCAATATTTAACCAATGCACTCTTGACTTGCTCTTACCACCGCATAACAGCATTTTAAAGCTTCTTTTTGATTTTTCATTTCCATTTAACACTCAATGATATTAAATGTATTTTAGTGAAAGCATTGAAAAATCTTGATGGGAGAAGTTTTGATGAAAATCACAAGTAATGCATTTCCATAATAATCTTTATATTTAAACCAGCAATAAAACAAATGTCTTAAGCATTAGGGAGAAAAAGTGTTTGATGGGCTTATAGTTAGGAGCTGCTAAAGAGCTGCTACTGAAAGGGAATGCTCCCAGTCTAAAACACTGCTGAGTTATAATGATCCATGACTATGGAGGAACAGTATGTGTTTCTCTTTGAGTTTTATGTCCCTTATTACAGCTGCAATACGTCTGCTCACATTAAGCTAATTTATGGTTGAGGCCAGCGTAACAGCAGTGCAGGTTAATGAATTTGGCATTACTAATTAAACGTTATTGAGGGATGAATATATGAATCCTGAGGTGGGGTGGGGGGGTGGGGGGGGGGTGAAGAGAAAGGGACAGAGGACTGTTCTGCTGTTCTTCCTTTGGGTTGCGTTCACAATGAGTTAAATAATGTGTGAATGTGAAGACAGCACAACCTCTGAGGTGAAATGGAGGGCAGCTTTAT